CTGTTCGTCTTGGCCGGCTGGCATCAGCAGTGATGTGGTCACCCAGTAATACCATATTAGTGAAACATGCATCAGTAGGGATTAATCTCAGAAACATTGGCAAACTATTTTTTCCAGTGCTGGGTACTGAACCATTGCTTATGTAGATGGTAGCACCCTTGTGTTAACAAATTAGGAGTTTAACTTTCTCTTTGGTAAATATTAGGATTGGAGATTGAAAGAGTCACAGGTAGGACAGAAAAACAATCAACCTTATAGAATCCACAACAGCCTTTATTAGTCCATAAGGGCAACTACTGATCAGTGGAGTCTGCAACAGGGAGCTTAGGTACTTTTGTGTAGGTACAGAGCCATGGGGGTTGGATAGAGACTTCAAAGACTGCACTCTTTCTCAGGAGGGCTTGTGGGAGAGAATTCAAGGTCTACATTTTCTTTTTGTCTGACAGAGCAGCTGGAGTCCTGGACAGGCTTGTTTGTAAAATTTTATGCTTTGGGAGTTAATAAAGGTTTCCCTTCACCTTGAGCTCCATCTAGAACCCTTGATATATTATTATTCTTAATCTGGTTAGTGGTCACAGAGTATATCCATTTGTCATTAGACATGTAGTCTTTGGAAATGACACCTTGGTAAATTAGATGTAAGAGTAATGAGAAAAATCTCTACATTTTGAAGTTCTGTGCATGCGTGCATGCGTGCATGTGTGTGTGTGTGTGTGTGTGTGTGTGTGTGTGTGTGTGTGGTGTGTGAATTATCTCTGGAAATTTTATGTGAAAGTTCAGCAAATTCATTGGTTTCCTGTGTTGTTGTTTTTTTTTTTTTTTTAAGTTAAATTCATGCAACTTTTTCTTTTTCTTTTTGGTTTTTTTGAGACAGGGTCTCCCTGTAGCCCCAGCTGGCCTGGAACTCACTATGTAGACCAGGCTGGCCTCGAACTCAGAGATCTGCCTCCCTCTGCCTCCTCAGTGCTGGGATGAAAAGCATGCACCACCATGCCCAGCTCATGCTGCACATTTTAAAGACAAAATATAACTGCAATAACTCGGGTTTATAAAGGTGTATTTGTGAGGAGTGGTTGCTTAATATGCAACCAGACCCAGGTTCAGTTGCCACACAAACTTCTCAGTACCACGTTTTTTGTTGTTTGTTTTGTTTTTTGAGACAGGGTAGCCCCACAGCTGGCCTAGAACTCGATATGTAGATCAGGCTGGCCTTTGAACTCAGAGATCCACCTGAGTGTTATTCTTGCACATAGGTAAGTGCACCTGTGTTGTGCAATGTACCACATTTTAAAATTTAAAACATTAATCACTTATAAGTGAAAAAGAGGATAAGGAAGGGATATGGGACAGATGAAAGTATGAGGGAAGGAAGCTGGATGTCTGACCCATGCCTTTAATCCCAGCACTTCTGAGGCAGAAGCAAGTGGATCTGTTATTTTGAGGCCAACCTGGTCTACCTAGTGAGTTTCAGGCCAGCCAGGGCTACATAGTAAGATCCTGTCTCAAAAATAAAGAGACAAAAAGAGGGAAGGCAAAATTCAATTCAAGAAAGAATTTTATTCAAAATGCATATTTTGGTGGGGGCACTTACTAGAAAACACTTCCTCCTTTGTTTTTTGTTTTGGTGATTCTTTTTTGTTGGTGGTGGTTTTTTGTTTTGTTTTGTTTTGTTCCATTTGTTTTCCCTCCAAATATCTGCTGTAAAAAAATTTTTTAAGTCATTTACCATTTGTATGGCTCACAGGAACCAGCGAACCACAATTGTTTTGAGCATGTTTTCAGAAGTCAGGATGGCTTGGTTTACAGGGTTTCATAGGCTGAGTGACCTTGAACTAAATGTTAGTTCATGTCTATGTCAGTTTTCTCACATTTGACCTCCCCCAGGCATCCTTGGACTCACCAAGGCCCCGTGCTGAAACAGTTGAGTGGGTTTCTGTTTTGTTTTGTTTTTGTTTGCTTGTTTGTTTTTTAGAAAGAGAAATGTATTCTGGTTCTGTTTGTGTGTGTGTGTGCGAGCGTGCATGCACACATGAGCACTGAGACTTGAACCTAGGGCCTTGTACATATATGCAAAACAAGCATATAATCTCTACCACTAGATTATCTCCCTACCCACTGTTTAATTTTTAACTTTTTTAGTACAGAGTGTTGATAAGTTGCCCAGGCTGGCCTCTAGCTCTCTATGTAGCTCAGACAGGCCTTGAACTTCCTGCCTCAGCCTCCACAGCAGCTGGGATTACAGCCTACACAATCAGGCCAAGCTTCTGTTAGGGAATCTTTTGTTTGTTTGCTTGTTTTTTTATTTTTTATTTTTTTAATATTTTATCTATTATTTTTATTTTAGTTGTATGCGTGTATTGTCTGCATGTAGGTAAGTGCACCTGTGTCATGCAATGCCTGTGGAGGCCAGAAGAGGCTGTTGGATCCCCTGGAACTGGAGTTACAGACAGTTGTTAGCTGCCATGTGGGTGCTGGGATTCAAACCTAGGTCTTCTGCAAGAACAGTCAGTGTTCTTAACTGCTAAGCCATCTCTCCAGCCCGTGTTTTTATTTTATTTAAAAATTTTTAAGATCTGGGCATGGTGGCATGTGCCTTTAATCCCAGCACTCAGAAGGTGGTTCTCTGTGAGTTCGAGGCCAGCCTGGTCTACATAGTGAGTTTCAGGCCAGCTAGGGCTTCAGGGAGACCTTGTCTCAAAAGACAAAAAATAATAAATAAATAAATAAATAAATACAATTTTTAAATGTTTTTATTTATTATTTTTATTTTATGTGTATTTTTTTAAAAAATTTTAAGGAAAAATTTACATTTATTTCATATGATGATACATACATATATATTCCACAATTTTTGCAGTGGAGTGGCTTGGCCTTAGGAACTGGTGATCTCTAAGTAGCGTAGCAAACCCCAGACAAGTCCACTTTTGCATATCTTGCACGAATTGTCATTAATAAGCTGTTAGGCTCTCCTGGTTTGACCAATAAATTATTTGATCATACCATAGCTAAGGAGTTCTAATTTTGAGTGGTTATAAAAACTTGGGCACTAGGACCTTAGAGAGCTTTTGGGATGACATCATCTCTAGAAAACATGTTTCCTTGTTTTTTAGATAGGCAGGCTCAGATGAACTTGCACATACAGAACAGAGAATCCACCTGTCCTTCCTTGTCCTATCCCAGTGATGATATCTGATATAACTGGAGCCTAATAAATATTAAAACCAGGAAACTCCGCAACTACTCATGCACATGGGCTTTATCTGAGAAGTCTCGGAATGGATCCATCACATCAGAGCAGCTCCCCATACTCCCCATCTTCTGAGCCCAGAACATTCTTTCCCTAATGAGGACGTTCTGTGCATGGGTCTCACACTCCAAGTCCTGCTCAAGTAAAAGGTAAGGGCCCCAGTTAGGAAAGATATACTTGGGGAAAGCCAGGTGTGTGAATTCAGACAAGGTGAACAAAGACCTGGGTGAAGCCCCATCCCACAGAGACTATGATGCTGCTGCCCACACAGAGAAAGCCAGAGGAAGAGGCCTGGGGAATCAGTCTCTGGTATTTTGGGGAGTCTCAATTGCCCTTCTGAATCTCTAGCTCCCTCTCTCGTTCTCTGTCCCTGTCTCTGAATTTCCACCCCTATCCCCCCAGGTCTTGGTCACTCTTTTTCTGGCTCTTTGTCATCCTCTGTCTCTATGGGTCTCTTCCCTTTGTCCTCTTAGGTCTCTCCCCTGTCTCTTGGTCTTAGCCTCTCTTCTCATGTACCTCCCTTCCCTGCTCTTTGGGTCAACTGCTCTTGCTCAGTTTCTGTGCCTTGCTCTCCCATCTCTCCCCTATCCCTTTGCAGAGTCTGAGATGGTCACCAATTGGGGTACTGACCATCCCCCCCCTTTTTGGAGACAGGGTAGCCCCTGCTGGCCTGGAACTCACTACATAGACCAGGCTGGCCTTGAATTCCTATGAATCCGCCTGCCTCTGCCTCCTGAGTGCTGGAATTTAAAGGTGTGCACCACCACACCCAGCCACACTCCTTAATAGAGACCTGTACTCCAAAACTGAGAAGAGAGAGGAACAGACTTTCATATACCCATTGCCCCTACTCTATCCTTACCAGTTCTCCATGCCCCCTCCATCTCTCCCTGTCTTCTTCAACTCTTCTACTCCTACACTTCTCTGCCTGCCCCCATCACCTGCAGGGAACATGGCTCCCTCTGTCTCAATAACAACTGCTGGTTCTGTCCATCCTCATCATCTTCCTTCCATCCTATTAGCAGGTCCATCTCTGGCTCTATCCCTCTTTCTGCCACCTTTTATTGCTATCCTTCCTTATGTGTGTGAGGGAGGGCCCTGTGTCTTCTCTCTGCACACACCCATGCTCACTCTCTAATCCCTCTCCCTTGCTCTTGTGACTTTCACACTGGCCCCTCCACATTCCCCTTCCTCTTCTTTATCTCTCTTCTCAGTTCCTGCGATGGTTGCCCTTGATTGTCAACTTGATGGGTGTGTCTGTGAAGGCCTTTTCAGAGAAAATTAACTGAGTAGGAAATCTGGTCTTCATAGTGGATGGTATCTTCCAGTGGATTCCTAGGTATCAAGCGGACCAAGGAAAAAGCAATGTGTGCCTGCCTGCCTTCACTTCTCCTTCCTCAACAAGTGTGTCTACCTCTGCTGACATCCTCTGCTGACATGAGACTCCAGTTCTTCGGCCTTCCACCCTGGACTCAGTATCAGTGACTCTGCAGGGAGCTCCAGGTCTTCAGCACCAGACTGGAACTGCTGAGGCATCCAGCTGTGTGGACTGAGCAACTACTGGGTTCTCTGCATCCCCAGTGTTGTGCAGATGGGTGGCTATAGTTGGACTACTGAGCCCTATCCTGTAAGTCATTCAATTAAATCAGAAGTCTCTCCTCTCTCTCTCTCTCTCTCTCTCTCTCTCTCCCTCTCTCCCTCCCTCCCTCCCTCCTCAGTTCCTCTACAAAATCTTGCTATATTAGTTATTTTTCCTGTAGCTGTAACAAAATACCTCACAAAAAGCAAGTAAATGAGGGAAGGATTTATTTTGGCTCTTCATGTGAAGGCCTTTGTGGTAAACAAGACCTTGTGGCATGTGAGAGGCAGCTGGTCACACTGTCGTTCAGTTAGAAGCAGAAGAGATAATGCAGGTGCCAAGCTGGTTTCCCTTTTGTTTCCTTTTCATTGAGAGTATGCAACTGCTTCCTGGGTGATTCTAAATCTAGATATGTTGAAAATGAAGATCAACCATCACATCTGCCTAGTACAATTCCCCTGGCCTTCAACGTGTCCCTCTCTCTCACTGAGCCTGTGTTCCTTTGGGTGTCCCTGTTTCTCACTGTTTCCCTTATGTTTATAGAAGCATGTTGACAACATTGACCTGCTGTAAGGATCAAAAATGGAACACCCGCACAGCTCCTCAGCAGTCACTGGCAAGGGGCACAGGACAAGGACTCACTGAGGGGCTGTGCTTCTCTTTTGAACACAACAGGTAGATGTGATGAAAACTGTATGTAAGTTGCATCCTCTGTACTCCTGGGAGCCATGGACCTTCCTACAGAGAGGGCACTCATCTTCTCTGAGCCAGTACCATCTCCTGGGCTGGGAGACCCCAAAGCCCCCTTCAGTCTGCCCTGCAGGCAGCTCTGGGAACTTGCTACAGCATTCGTTCTACCTGGGAGCTTCTGCTCCTGACCAGGGAAACATTCAAATCCTGGCTTCAAAAGTGCCCCATAACAGCTTTACAGTTTCACAGTGGAAGACATCTCTTCCATGGGGGAAGACATGTCCTTTCCCCCCCATCCTGGGGTCTTGGCTGGGGCCCCTTTAACAGATGACAGTGACATGGCAGAGCACCCTGCTGCTTGCTGCACATCCATCTACATGTAGGAGGAGCCTTCACCTCAGGCAGGACAGATGCAAGGAGCAGGTGACGCAGAGGATTCTGACCTGGGCTCTGCTGAAGGGCAGATGTGGAGGAGGAATGGGACAGGCAAGAGACTGTGACCACCGCTAACAAGCAGGGAAACTGGGCCAGGCCTGTTGCTGCCTCCTCTGCGCTCCTGTGTGCAGAGGCGAGGACGCTCCTTTCTTCTCTAGATCTGGGGTGGGCACCTCTCCCATTGCTGTAGGATTTGGCCAAAGAACCAAGAAAACCTTGAATTTACAAGAAAACAGCTTTATTAACCAATCAGGACCTAGGCAGAGTTACCTCCAGAATAAACCTGGCCCCTGAGCTGGGATCTTACATGCCATTTTATAGTAAAATATAAAAAGTGTCAGTAGTTTGCTACTCAACAGTATATGATTGGTTAATTCTGTCCCTGGGAGAAGGATGGAAAGGGAATTAAAAAAAAAGAAAAGAAAAGAAGACAAAAGTGTTTACAGGAATGATGCGGTCAACTTGATCTCAAACTGTTTCCATCTGGTGCCATCTGGTGGTTTATAGTTAGTGTTGTTTTTCTGTTTTTTTTCCTCTGGTATTTACTATATTAGTGCCTACTATATTAGTGTATCCAAGGGAAGTATGACAGGGGTTGGGCTTGCTTCAAAGAAAGTCAGCAGTTGCTAAGCTACAAGCTTATTTATTAAATCTTCAGGGGCTCATGAACCACCATAAAGTCCTGACGCTTGCAAGGAGAGAGGTGGGAGGTGAGAGTACATTTTCTGCTCTGTTGTTCTCTTGTATTGCTTCAGCTAAACAGGATCAATGTGCCCCCCCCCGGAGGGGGGGCATGTATAGGACCAGTGTGAAGCCCCAACACCCAGGATGCAAATTCCAGAGTCCAAAAGAGAGATACATATCTCGTAATTTCTGAGTGCTTTGCTATTCTCTGGATTTTTTTTTTTTTTTTTAAGCATTTTAAGGCTGGGTATAGTAAAGGCATTTTCCAAAACAATGTGCCAGATCTTGATGGTTTCACAGATAATTCTGCAAAACATTTAAAAGGGAAATGAAGGGGCTGGAGAGATGGCTCAGCAGTTAATAGCACTGGCTGCTCTTCCAGAGGACTCAGGTTCCATTCCCAGCACCCACCTAGCACCTAACATCTGTCTGTAACTCCAGTTTCAGGAGATCAGATGCCCTCTCCTGGCCTCTGCAGACATTGCATGCACAAGTGCACTTACATGCAGGCAGAACAGTCATACACATTAGAAAAAGGAAAAAAGAAAAAGAAAGAAATGAAGACCAGATGTGGAAATTCACACCTGTAATGCCAGCATTCAGGAGGCTGAGGGAGAAGGATCGCTGCCCAGGCCAGCCTGGGTTACAGTGAGACACTGTCTCAAAAACCAATGCTATGATACCAATCCTCTACAATGGCTTTCATAAACTAGATGTAACCTTTATTGTTGGGGACCACCTGTTTGAATTCTGAAGAAAGCAAGTGCAAAGTCGCTAGTAGCCAAGATTGTCTATGAGAGCCAAATCGGCATGTATGCCTACTCGGAGTTTTGAAGTGCAGTATCCCATATGTTTATGTTTAGATTTTTAAAAAATGGTGCCCTATTTACACTGTTATGTGAATATCTGCTCTGTACCTTACAAACAGGCTGTACTTTATTGCTAATTGTTTCCTGAGCTCTTGTGAGAAATGTCCTTTGAGCTTCATACCATTTGATCCTGAATACCTGCTTAAAACACCTCATCCCAGGGAATAGAGCCTTGAAGAGTTAGAGCTTCAATGCTCATTGTTCTATGGAACAGGGACCCTTTCTTGTCCCCAGTTTTCTTAAATGTTAAATTGCCTCTGTGTAATATTTTATCATTAGATACCTCACTGTCCCTCTCTGGGTCCACCACTACCCAGCCACACAAGACATAGCATTTTATAAACTAGAAATAATCTTTAGCCCAGTGCCAAAGGAATTTGGACTATTCAGAGCTGCTGAACACCATGGAGTAATTATACACCCAAGGAAACCCAGCTTACTACAGGGCCTATGAAAAAAATAAGAGACCTCATACAGACTGCAGACTATTTTGAGCTGCTGTGGAAAGGTGAAGTTCCCAGAAAGCAGAGAAAGAGAGAGAGACAGAGACAGACAGAGAAAGAGAGATAAAGAGAAGCTTTCTCCTCCCTGGTGAATTCCTCTGAAGCTCTGGGCCAGCTGCTGTCCACTATGTGAGACTTGATAGAGACAGGTGGGGGAAGAGATGACCACAGAGTCTCCCTTCCCAGAGCCTCCTCCAAAGCACCAGAGCCAATTTTTGGCATGGCCTCCTCCCTGTGCTGCTGAATTCCAAGAGTTAAAATTTACTGTTGAACCTTACTTATGCCTAGTGGAGTGAAACACAAATGGACAGTATAAGGATGTTCCTGTAGCAGGCCCCTGACTAAAAGACATCCATCTTACCATCCTACGTGACCTGGCCTAGTTATTTTCCAGTTTCCCCGAAATTGCCCACACCCTATAGGGACCAGGAATTCTTAGAAACTGCCACATGTCTGGCCAAGATGAGATAAGCTGCTACCTAATGCCGTATCTGTTTCTGTCCATGCTTGCTTGCTCACTCGGAGGGGGGGTGTCGATAGTAATTTTAAACTTTTACTGACCTATGAAAATATGTGCTTGAGTTTGAACCATAATGATTGGCCCCTTGTATTCCCGCTTTTGAGAAATAGCTGACTATGTATAAAAAGTTCTTGCAGACTCCCTTTGGGGCTGCTCTCTGTCACTCCCTGAGTGCAGGGACAGCCCGGCCGTTAATAAAATCCTTCCTACCTTGTGGCCGAATTCTTGGCAGGTATCAGACTATAACAGTTCCTAGACTGCAGCCATCTACTGGAGACCCATCCTTCACTCCACTGTGACCATCAAAGAGGTAGAGAGCGTCCTCAGTTGTCCGAATCCTGACCACAAGCATGCCAGCCCCTCTTCCCTGAGTTCTCAGCATGTCCTGTAGCACTGTGGGATGTGAGCTCAGCTTCTCTCCTTGTAGAAACTCCTTTCCTTATCTCCATTCTGCGGTGAGAAATTAGGCCAATGGTCTATTGAAAGCAGGTGTCAGCCAGAATAAAACAAAACAAAACAACAAAAACCTGGTTTTAAGCCCCAATATGCAGAGTCAGCAAGCACTGCAGTGGCAAAGGTAATAGGGCCTTGGCAGAAGTCTCTGAGCTTGAACTGCGGAATTAGCCTCAGCTGTGTGTTCAGTGTGGCGGTATTCCTGGAGATGAGAATGGAGAAGAGCAGGTAAAGCATCTGCCTTTGAAGAACAGGAGGAAAGTATGGTGCTGTGAAAGGGGAGAAAGAGAGAGCTAGATATGCATTGGCCAGGAATTGAACCCGGGTCTCCCGCGTGGGAAGCGAGAATTCTACCACTGAACCACCAATGCTGTCTGAAGATGTCTTTACAAGCACATTAGGAAAGGATATGAGAATCCATTCATTTCAAGCTTTCCCACTTAGTTTAAAACAACACAAGATTTTAGAAAACCCAAATTAAATCAGTGTTTGCATAGGAAATGTTTCTGAGACAACTCCACACCCTAAAATCCCCAAAGAAAACTATGTCACTTGAAAACACTTCGTTCTGCTTTTTATTTTTCTTTGAATTTCTTGTTTTGTTCTGTTTCATTTTTCCCTGTTTGGTTTTGTATTTTGCAATCCTGAGGGTGAAATGCAGGGCCTCCTCTATGCTAGGCAGTGTGAAAGCCCAAGACCCTTAGTCCCTCAGTGTTACCTGTTTGCCTTTAGCCTATGGCCGGTTTTTCCCTCAAGGAGTTTCTGGGAAGGACCTATAAAGTTCTTTCAGAAAGACTATTCCCAGTTCAAATTCTTACGCCTTTAATCCAAGTGCTCAGGAGTCAGAGGCAGGTGGATCTCTATGAGATCAAGATCAGCCTGGTCTGCATAGACAGGTCCAGGCCAAATTGGGGCCACAGGGAGACCCTGCCTAAAAAAGGGTGCTCAAAGTTTGCTACATTTAGAGAGTATCAAAAACCTTTCTATGAGCAGTGCACAGTTGCTACATTTCTGCTGGTTTGAACAGGAAGGAGGAAGAGGGAAGGGCATCTGGGGTCTGTGCATTCTGTTTTACTGTACAGTAAGTATAGTGTCCTCATGGACAAAGCTAGTCTTCAAGGACATTACAGAGGTTGTGATCAAAGTAAAAATAGTAAGCTAATCGAGGACTCTGTACTCTGTATGAAAATTCATACTGGTGTAAAAACTATGGAGGAAGTGAACGAAAGTAAAAAGAAACCCTTCAACGCATCCTCTGTGAACAGTCCTGATGCTGGAACCTGAGCTCTGGGTGGCAGAGGTGGGCAGAGAAATCAGAAGAGTGATGTGAGTGGCTTGGGTGGGGACGACTGGGCCCGGTGGGCTGATGGAAATCAACGTTCTATCCAGGATCCTGGCAACGGCTCATTTTGTCAAAACTCATCCGGCCAAACTCGAGGTATTTGTGCCCTTCAGTCCGCATGAATTACACTTCCGTCACAGTCAGAAAAACAAACAAAACATAGTTGGGGAATGGCACCGTGTTTAATTTCATCATATTGCTTAGCTTTTACTTAAAATATTCCTGTGGAATGAGGACTCTGATTTCCTTTCACATGGAATGCGTAGGTGATTGAAAAATTAAAAAGTATGAGACAGAAAGAACAGAGACCGAAACTGGAACAATAGCGTACCACACCTTAGAAGTCAGCTTCTGGATCTCAGAGCCGAACCAATGGTGCCTTGAACGACGCAGCGTAGTAACCACGGGGACCACAGCGAGCCACAGGAGAAATTCCAACAGCATCTTCTTTACCCTTGTTCCTGTTTGTGATTCTCTGCTGTCTTTTTATTTTTCACGCACTCAAAGGTCTTCATGCTCTGTCCCCTCCCGGCTCTTCCGTCCACCTTCCCTCCCCTCTGCTCCCACACAAACTCACTTTTGTCTCTAGCATCCCCCCGCCGATCTGTCTCCGTTCTGTCCACTCCCTCCGCTCCCGCCACGCCTCGCTCAGCGCACCGACCTCAACCGCCACCGCCCCTGTCTTTCCCACGCGCACCGCGCCAGGCCACTGCCCCAGCAGGACAAAGATCAACATTGCCACGAGCCCGGCCACCGTGCAGTCTCCGGGAGCCCTGGGTAATCGCAGACCCCGGGAGGCGCCTGACGAGCCCGCAGGTATCCGACTGCGCCCAGGCGTAGGGAGGCCTCGTTCACCAAGGACCTGGGAAGAACTCAGGTACAGCGTCTCTGTGGCGCAATTGGTTAGCGCTTTCGGCTGTTAACCGAAAGGTTGGTGGTTCAAGCCCACCCAGGGACGCTTCCCTTTGGGTTTTAACACTTCCCCAGATAAAAAGGTATTAGCGATTGGTAGGTATTAAAGTTCAAAATTAGATCTTCTTGGTATACTTGTGTTCTCACCCTCCTGCTGTGTGTGTCCTTATCCTGCACATTCCTGAAAGAGAAAAACCTTTCACAGCATGCTTGGGGATCTAATAGTACCTCATTTTTTAGCAGTAACATGAAACCAACAGAGGTATTACTGTCCCTGATTCAAGTGTCTGGATAGACCACCACCACCTGCTCTTTCTTTTGTAAGAAAACTGTCTTACTTAATTTGTGCATTATTTAGTTTAATCTTCCAAATGTTTTTGAAGTTGGTTTGTTTCCCGGGTTGATGATTACAAACAAGCCTTGTGGCAATGGTCATTGACAGACCCACGACTTTGGTGACTCCCAAAGATGTTATTTCTATAATGTAGGGAGGACATACAGCTGGCAGCAGTGTTCATACAATGCTCCAATCAGCAGACTCTGCAGCTTTGGTGGTGCCAGGTCCTAGTCCAATGTATTTCCCAACTGCTGCAATGTTCCTGTCATTTATTTGCTTTTGGAACACACTGTCTGTCCCTGACAGTGTTATAGGGCAGTGCAGCCCTCCTGGCTTAGCTAAGAGGAGGCATGGTATGACCCTATTTCTATGTTGACATGAACAAATATTTGCTCCCTCAGATAGAGAACTGAGGACAGACCAATGTAAGGATACCACCACCAAAGTTCAACTTGGTGAGCCGATGAGTTTATTGCGGTTACACAGGAATATGGGTAAGAGATTACAGTTCATGAAAGCTACCATCCTGGAGCTGGTCTGAGGGATTCATCTTCACCTAAATCTCTATAGGCTGAAGATATCCAGAGTCTGAAAACCAAGAGGTTCTGCCTCTTGAAGCCAGTTGCCTTGGTCTCTCCCTGAGCACATCTGTGGGGCGGGACTCTGCTTTATTAGCGTAGGTTCCTCTGCTGTTAGTGTATCAAGAGCCATCCAGCTTTGTAGGGTAATCATATTCATTATTTAACATTCTGGGTTTAGGAAGGAGATCCCCAGGGCCATATCATTAGGAATGTTTTGTGTGTATATAAAGAGCCTATGTGTCACATAGCATCTTTTCATCTTACTTGAGGAATGAAATTGGAAGCTAAAGAGTCAAAACAGTGGAAGACATATCTCCCCCATCTATGTGATAGAATGGGAAGAGTTACAGGACTGGTAATAGTTTTTATCCAATGTTCTTGCATCCAGGGGTATCAAAATGTACACCTCCCAATCTATCCTGGGGGCAACCATTAACACAATCTGTTACCACAAAGGCATTTCGTGTCATTAGGACTCACACATCAAATTTTAAGTCTCCAAGTCCAATTGGTAGCAAACAGGTCCGTTCTCTCTAAGACTATGGTTGAACTACCATTAATGGCAAGAATCCATCCCAATAGTTGAAAGAAACATGTATATTTGTCAAATGAATGCTTTCTTGGTCCCCAACAAAAGGGACCCAGTTAGCTAAGTTGTACTGTTTTAGGGGTGATCCAAATTTGAAGGTATCCTTCCTTATATTTACAAGTATGTGGTACAATTCTAAGGGGCTCGCCAGCACAGCCATCTAATTGAGATTTAGCCACTGACCAAGGCCAGGTTAGTTAACAGTAACAAGTTTCTTTGGCCATGGAGAAACATTAACATTCAAAGGACAGAGCACCCTTGTCCATCTTCAGTGAACTGTTGGCGTTGTTTCCAGTCATGATCCTATAAGAAGGGATGAAGGCAGGACAGAAACACTAGCATTAGACAGCAGTCCACAAGTTCTGCAGGCATCTTTGCCATGCCTTTAGCATCCTGTTGAGCCAATTTAGAAAGGAATTCATTTCATGATAATGTAACTAACAAAAAAGAAATTAGAGTCTCTAAAAAGTATATTCATGGTTAGTAGAGAGTAACTTTATAAAGGAAGCCTATTCTTGTTTATAAAAAGTTAAGATGTTAAGCCAGGCATCATGGTGCAAGCCTTTAGTCCCAGCACTTGGGAGGCAGAGGCAGGTGGATTTCTGTGAGTTCAACGCCAGCCTGGTCTACATAGTGAGTTCCAGGCCATCTGGGGCTATAGGGAGACCGTGTCTCAAAAAGACCACAAAAAAAGAGAAAATATTTACAAAGTCTTTGATTAGTAAACACTAAATTTATTCACAGATGATCCATTTTCCTCCAGGCAAGAGCTTGTGAGGCAAAGTCTGGTGCAGCACTGTCTAATTGGAAGGCATTCAGCTTCTTCCTCTCTGTCCAAGCCAGAAGGAAGCCAGTGCCTCTCCCACCAATTCCAGGAGGGTGGCTTTGCTAGGGGAAAGCTGGAGACTTCTCTTTCTGCCTGCCTGAGGTCTGAAGGCGTAGTGTGGTCTTGCACTAGGAGACCTCAGTTCTCCTCAGTGAGATGGGAAAACCCTCACCCAGGCCTTGGGCCTTCAAGACTCAAGAAGCCCATCAATATATTCACTTTCCTTCTTTCTCCCCACCACCCCCAGGCCTGGATAGCAATATGTAGCACAAGTACCTGCCGTCCTAACCAGAGACCTATACCCCCATGCTTGGCTTGTTCCTTAACTTTTCATTATAGTTCGTAACACAAAACATACAAATTTTGAGGACAACTTAAAAAGGGAAGGGGAAGGATTTTCTAGACTATGAAATCCCTGTGGACCTGCCTGTGTTTTTAAGGACAGGCTGTGACAGACTCATATACGCCTATGCACTTTAGCAGTCTGTGGTTGAACTTGAAGCACAGCAGGTGAACATGACTCTCACAGAATCAAGCCATCTTGTTCTGTCTCCCTTTCTTTCATACACACAGGGTTAGATTTTTAGTATGTAAAGGTAAACTGATTTTTTAATGAGAAAAGTTTACAAACCACACAAACATATAAAAGAGAAAATGAACATCCTTTCTCCACAATCCCACTCTGGCCCCCAGCTCACTGCCTTTAGATCGGTCCCTTGTACCAGAAGGGGCTCTGAGTCCCAAAATGGAAGAGAGGGAGGTGAGTGTTTGTGGAGAACTTTATAGGGTTACCATAATAACCAGTACACAAAAATTCCAGAATTCTAGCATGCGATGACACAGGAGACCATGACTTATAAAGAGAAGAAAAATTCATCAGGTGAAACAGGACCAGAACTGCCATGAGGTTAGAATTTGGAGAGAGGACTTTCACTTATTATGCCTGCACTCCATAGGCCCAAACTGTTAAAAGGAAATGCAGAATATTTAAAATCAACTGAGTGAAATTTTAGAGAATAAAAATAAAATGTCAGCGATGACAATTTTACTGCAGGGACCACCTGAAGGTTACATGTTGCACAACACATGATCAAGGAACTATATCCACAAGTAACTGAAAATATCCAACTTGAGACTTAGAGACAAAACAGAACTTTGGAAAAAATTGAAAGAAAAGTTTCATGAACTCTAGGGCAAACTTAAGAGGCCTAATATTTTAGAAACTTGGGTCCTTGAAAAGTGTGGGTTGAGGGCTGGAAAGATGGCTCAGTGGTTAAGAGCACTGGCTGCTCTTGCAGAGAACCCAGGTTTGATTCTGAGAGACCTCATGGGGTTAACAACTGTAACTCCAGTTCTAGAGGACCTGATGCCCTCTTCTGTCATCTATGAGAGACCTGAGTGACTCCATCTTGGATAAAACCTCCATGGGACTGACCCAGCCCTGAACCCTGTTCCAGGAAAAAACACAAAAAAAGTATACTTGGAACAGATAGAGAACTCCCCTGCCAACGGTCAATTAACCAGGGACAGGAAAGTACTAAAAGTCCAGATATCTCTTCAGATTCCCGGAAGGCGGCAGTTTATGGTTCGGCACTGGGCTGCAACCAATCAGATGCTTGCCAGGCTGGAGACCCCCTACTTGCTGAACTTGCTGAAATAAACCTATAAAAACCTCTGTCTCCCAAAGCAAGGGGTCTCACATCTGAGATCCGCTGACAGAGTGGACCCAAGCTTAAGCTTGCAACAATAAAAGAACCCTTGTGTGTTTGCATTGGTCGGCTCCTTGGTGGTCTTTGGGGTCTGGCGAACTGGGCATAACAATTCCCAGCACCCACATGGCAGCTAACAGGTATCTATAACTCCAGTTCCAGAGGATCCGAGGTCCTCTTCTGACCTCCATAGATGCACCTATACTCATGCACATAAAAATAGTAACTAAAATATTATTTTTAAAAGTGTGGGTTGAGAAGGAAAAATATTTGAAGAAACAGTGTCTGAAAACCCCCAATCAAAGACGATTAAAGCAAGTGACACAGAGCTAAGGAGCCTAAGCAAAGAAACACAGAGCAAACTGAACCGGAGACACTGTATTCAGATCCCAAAGAAAAAATTTTTTTTTAAAAGCCTGGTGTGTTGGCCCTCCCCCTTAAGCCTAGCATTCTGGAGACAAAGGCAGGCAGCTCTCTGTGAGATCAAGGCCAGCCTGGTCTACATAGCTAGTCCCAGGACAGCTGGGGTTTGTAAAAAAAAAAAAAAAAAAAAAAAAAAAGTGAAACGAGGGCATTTCAAGACATGAATGCTGAAATAATTCTGTAGCATGGCAAGAAGGCAAAACCCATGGCAAGAACACATAAAAGCCAGAGAGGGGAGAATAACT